GACAACGACCAAGGATGGACTACGTGAGAACAAAACATTCCAGCAGGTGGCCAAGCACCGTGTGCCCGCATCTCCGAAATCCAAGGGTTTTTAGGGTTTTTAAACCCTAAACCCTAAAACCACATTTCCGGTGATATCAGATGTTTGCGTCCGCGTCCCACAACGCGACTAACGCCCACGCGGTGATCCCGGAGCAGCAACTTGGCCATTTTTACGCAGTTGTGTTTGACCACATAAGCAATGGCAGCATCGATGTTTACCCCCGGATTAATTCGGCCGTCTTGAAGCAGCACCCTAACCACGTTTCTGTTTCTCTTGCGCACGTGCGGTTGGATCGATCCGTGGATCTTGCAGCAAGAGTCGCACCATACCCAGCCGCCCTTGGCTACAGGCCATGTCAAAGTGGATGGCCGTGGGGTTCACATGTCCCTCCTGCAGCAACAGCTTCACAATGGCCAGATTCCCCAGAGTGATAGCTATTGTAAACACGGACGGATCAAACGTCAAGTTCTTGTTCTTCAAAAGCTCCTTGACCAGCCCAACGTCGCTGTTGTACAAGGCATCGGATAACATACTAAAACTCATGATTTCGGTTTTTTGTTTTTGTGTTGTTCTTGTTGTGGTTTTAGAACAACACGTAGTATCTCATACCAACAACAAACAGTATTCCTAGGACTAGCAGTATTTTAATTACAGTTTATTTTTTTTTAATATTTTTTTAATATCATGCCTGCATCACGGCCGCCACGGCCTGGTCCCAGTTCGGGTCCTCGCGCTGCTGGTTCGCAAACACGTACTGCAAATTGTACTTTTTGACTCATTCCAGAAGCGCCGCATCCCCAAACGGCGTCTTGATCGAATCGGGGAACTCTCCGCCGCTTGGCCTGGTCTTGTTGCACTCTGCAAAATTTAGCTTGGTATAGTACGCATCCTGACTACTACTTCCCTTGGCCATGAGCGAGTCATTAAACACCCCGTACCTGAGGTCGTCTAGAGGCAGCCCACTCAACGCGCCGTCAATGCTGAACGAAAACGTCAGACACTTGAACAGGCCGGCCAGGTGGTCCACAAACTTGGCCTGGTATTCTTTCGACGGATAGTTGACCCCGTGCTTGATATAGTCGGTGCCGTCGTGGTACAGGTGGCTCTCGCTCCAGAACCCCCAGCCCGCTTGCAGGTACGCTATCCGCGTGTCCTTATTGAACTTGGCCACGAACGCCGTGAAAAAGTTGAGCTCAGACTGCTGCACGTCCGCGGACAACCAGTCCACACCCACAAACTTTGAGCTGCCGAACAGCACATTGTTCGGCTGACTCACGTACGGGGACAGTAAAGACTTTTGGTTGTCACCAGAGTTGGTGCCACTCTGGTCCTGGATCCGCACGATCATTGGCCGGCCACGGGACTTGGCGCCGGCCAGATCCTTTTCCAAGGTCGTCCAGTTGTACTCGCCCCTGGTCGTGGGGCTGCTGAGCTCGGCCATGGTGTAGTATCTCCAGCCCACATCCAGTCCCTTGGCCTCTTGTCCAACGTACACACCGAGCCCAAGGCGCGGCTTTCGACGATTGCCGCCACCACCACTAGTAGTAGTAGTACATGATCGGTTAGTCAGTGCTCCAGTAGTAGTAGTAGTAGAGTCTGCGGCCGTGTTGGTGCTGCCCGTGGTCGTTGTTTCGGTTGTGGTTGTGGTCGTGTTGTCAGTGGTGGACGTAAAATATACGAGCGCAACTACTACCCCGACCACCACGAGTACCAAAAATATCATAGCAAAGGTGATCAAAGCCACCATCTTCTATTTTTCTTATACGTGAAATAAATCTGATTTCAAAAATACATAATTGCCCGCGCTCGCCGCGTTCAGTACCGCCCCCGATGCGTTTAGGACAATACTACCCTCAGCCTGGTTCGTTTCACCCGCAAGGCTTCCGATGGCCACGGCAGCCCCGGCTCGCTGGCTGGGCTAGCTGGCAAGGGCTCAGAGCCCTCCTGCCAAACACAAAAAAAAAAATTGGTAAAAAAAGAAGGTGATTTTGGGAATGGTTCGAAAAGAAGGTGATTTTCAGAATGGTAAAAAAAGAAGGCGATTTTGCAATCGGTGAATAAAAATGAGGTTTTTCTGGGCAAAAAGAAGGCGTTTCCGTATATAGTATATAGTATGTATTATATATTATATAGTACATGTGACGGCACATCTACTATACAGTCACTTACACTGCCCACCGTGTCCAGATGACATGCTGACCAAGATCCCTCTACGCGCCCTGAGCCGCCAGAACATGGAGGCCCTCATTGAGACCCTAGCCATCTGCCACGCCAGACTGGCCGAGAGACGCGGCCACTAGTGATAGTTTTTCGAAATAAATTGTTTTGCGTTATGGGTGTTAGAGACACAAAAAAAAACCTTGCAAAAATGTATGCAAGTCGAAAATCCTTTGCCGAGTTCTATGAGCCGCTCCAGCAGCAGCCCGACATCAAATCTGGCTCGTCCATGGGTGGCGGGAACGACGACAGTCGCTTCCACGCCTACGCATGCAACACCCGACATAGACACCCCCAGGTTGCCCTTCATGGTGTGGCCCATGGAGTCGCCGCCCGTGGTGAGAGAAAATGTATCGTCGTGTGTCCATGTTCCACCGCACGTAGCCCACTGCAGGACCTCCTCGGGGATGTAGGACCTCTTCGGCTCGGCCTCGTACTTGCCCACCGCCAGCTGCGCGTTCGAGAGGACGTGGCCTTGATATGCGCGGCTCACAGGGTCACACACCCGCACAAAGTCAAAGATTGCCCCCACAGAGTCCACCAAAACGCCGGCGTTGCCATATCCCTCGTTGGCCTCGAGACCCGCTGCGACGGCTCTGGCCTTTTCCATGTACTGTAGCCCACGAATCTCAATCGCTTCGCTGTTGATGCGCTCAACACGCGTGTTCTGTATCATAACGCTGTGTGCCGCGTCCTGCGACTCAAAGTCCAGGTCCCCTACAAAGTCTCCCACGGCCACCCCCTTGCGGTTCACCAGGATGCCATATACATTGCCGTCGCTAAGCATGGACTGGTTCCTGTTCCTGAACACGTCTGATGTCACGGGCTTGTCCGTCATGACTTCCACAAACGTGGCATTCATTTCCGTCACCAGGCTGGCATAGCTGGTCTTGATGGGGATGGGCTGGCCCCGGATTGTCACGCACCGTTCACTATCCTCAAGGACGAGCTGTTTGAGGACGGGGTGGAGGAAGCGCGCCTGCGAGTATGCGCTCGAGGTTGGCACATTGGCCACAAAGTTCCCGACGATGCAGTTGGAGATCAGGAGGCGCTTGGCGCCATTCAGCGATATGCCTGCCACCTCGAACTGCGTAATGTGGACGTTCAGGATCTCAACATTGTCCATGGTGTTGCCGTGGATGCCGTGATGGGAGGACAAGCCAAGCTTTCCAACCCTGATGCCCACGTTGCTGACCAGCTCGTCGTTTTCACCAAAGTCGTTGAGCCCCTGGCCGGTTATGAACGGCGCCCTGCTGATCTCGATGCAGGAGAAGAACCGCTGCTGTGTGTTGAAGGCCTTGCTCTGCCTGAGCGTCTTGCCCCCCAGGTCCAGCACCACATCGGAGCACTCGATAGTGATGGCCGCAAAGACCCCAAGGAGTAGGCGCGGGAGGCGTAATTGCCACATAGGAGCAGGTCCGCTTCCTCCGGATTGAAGTCGTTGGAGGGGTTGGGGTTGAACTCAATGTCCTCCGCGAGCCTGTACGTCCCGGGTGTTGTAATGCGAACTGTACCACGGGCAAAGTCGCACTGGTAGAGAGTCTTGGATACGGTGGACATCTTGATCTTTTTTTTTTGGAGTTGTTTTGGTTCAGTTTTAAGAAAAGGTTGGTGTGATCATAATAAGCCCAATGGCCATCTGGTCATTTCGCTTTTTTTTATTTCCATTTTTTTAGGCAGAGGTTTTCTTCGCCCGCTTCTTGGGAGCAAGCTTCTCGTGCAGCGACACTATCTCGGCCTCGAGCCGGTTTGTTTTTATCAGCAGCAGCGCAGTCAGGTCCTTCCACTTAATATCGGCGGCCTCGCCGTCGGCGCCCACAACCGCTAGCTCCCTAGCCACGGCCATCACGTCCTCGGCAAGGAACCCGTAGTGGGACTCCTCGACCGAGACATGCTTACCCTCCTTGTCATGGTCGACGCGTGGCTCTTTGAACGTAAACTGCCTCAGGTGCAGCCGGCGGACCCCCGCAAGCAGCTCATCAATCTTGGTGACTGGTATCTCGGCACACAGGTTCTTGGTCACGCTGGACGACGATGTGTACGTCACCTCACCCGTCTGCGGGTTGTAGTACAGCTCGTGCACACCAGAGGCATTGCGCACGGGCTTTACAACAAAGGACCCCTATACACAGGTGTTGGTGGGCTCGGGGGTGGCACTGATCACGGCGCTGTACGGAGCCTGGTTCACGTAGCCGGCGCGGGTACCTATGCCCATGGCCACTGCATTGTCCCCCTGGTTCTTGTAGCCCGAGTGCTTGCCAAGGAACAGGCTCTTGATGCCATATACTTTCCAAGTCATAGTTTGCGGAAGGATAGGGTGGTCTACGTCTTTCACTTAACCTAGGGTGGTTTTAAAGCAAATTGGTTTTTTAATAAACTATTTTACTAGAGCTGACGGATTGATAAACACGTCCATCGTGCTAAAGTCCAGCCGCTGCACATCGTATCCAAAGTCAGAGTTCACGAGACAGTACAGCAGCACCATGATCTTGGTGTACTGGGTGATGAGCTTTGGCCCGCCTGGGCGATGCACATGCCGGCCCATGAGGATATAGCACATCCGAGCCATGGAGATGCAGTTGTAGAGAATGTGGTAGGTGTCCTCGGAAATAACGGCAGTGTACTGTCCCGTCCAGTGCTTTGCGTGGTACATGCCCTCGAGGTCCCGCACCAGGATTGCCGGTGAACTCCCCCCCAGCACCCGGAGGCCCAGGGTCTTTCCAGCAGCAGATTGATCCTGCCACACAGAAGCGACTTGTCGAGTGTGGCAATCACCGAAGCGCGATGTGCCCCGCCGGTGGCTATGATGCCCTCCAGGAGAAAGAGCGTGTGGTACGGGGCCAGACAGATAACCAGTGACTCCTGCTGATTGAGCACCTTGAGCGACGACTCGGTCAGTTTTTTGGGGATCTTCTGGATGTGTAAACTTCGATGGAAATTACTAGGTTTCAAACTATATTAAACTAAAATACAATTTAGTCAGTTAGGATTTAGCAGTGGTAGCTTGTGTAGGAATGATCGGGA